CAAAACTTTCATGATCTGATCTTAGTATTACCTTCAACCTTCAAACAAACAACCAAAGTTAGAAGCTTTACTTCTTTATGATGTTAATAAAGATAATTTATGAAAATATTTAATAACTGGAGTTCATAAAAAAATAATAATTTATTTTTAAGCAAACTGAATATTATTTTAGACCATCATCTTGTTTAGCCAAATGAGTCCGAATTTGGGGTTGTGCCATTTAACACCAATTTTCCGATCCTAAATATTAACACTTACCAAAATCTCTGTCAATACATATCAAACGAGCCGAAACTCGATTAGATTGTTTCTGCCTTATTTACAGAGGTGCCATGACTACCTTCCAGCTACATCAATAGATCCTTTTCACTCCATATTAGCGTTGTATTATCATCCAAGTTACATATACATGCGTTTTAACTCAATCGGAAACCGGTAAACGCGTTTTTATTTTGCATAAAATGCGAATATAATCACTAAATATATTTTGAATCCAGTGTATTGAGGCAACTATTAGATCAAGTAGATCAAGCTTTAATAGAAAATGTAAGCATGTTCATAGTTACTATAGGAACCTCACCGTTATCTAGGTTTAGTTGTAGTCATTAATGTTGTTCCCATGGTAAGAAGAATAAAATTTTATATTTCACATTCCATATTTTTCTACAGTCTAGATATATCTAGTGGAACTAAAACGAAATCATAAGCGTCAATAACGATTCCAATTTAGTAAAACGTCAAAAATGTTTATTGCAATTGACACCAAAACTGACCTGCCATCGAACGATTACACGTTAAGTTGCGGAAAACAGGGCAGAAGGGACAAATCCCTGTGGGGATCTCTGTTAATTTGTGTCAGTTCGCTTTAGGGTCGACGGCTGATGAATAAGATTTTTGCGAGGTACAAAAATTGAAAGGGAATATTATTTGAAGGATTGTGACATCGAATTTTTATATGTATGTAAGAGTTAATTTGAAATATGCGTTTTATTTTTTAAATCGTAACCATTTAAATTATCAACATAAAATAATTGGATATGCATAATATAACAAAGACACACACACATACACCCTTTTTTAACGTCGGGGAATGGGCAGCGGGGACATATCTACTGTCCCCACTGCCCATTTCCTTTCATATTAACCACTGATGAAGCAATATATAGATCATCTTTAGCTCTAATATTGACAAGCTGTCATCTCAGCATCTACATTTCTTCGACTTTGCCGTTTACGTAAGATGACAAATAGCTGACACATTTTTTTCCTTCGCTTCCAAATCAATAATGGAGGCTCACATTGTAAAAATTGGTGGTTCAATTGCTTTATTGTACTTTGTATTATGATTAATTTTTGTTCATGACTTAGTCTTTGTCATCGTCACAGACGCATTTTATAGTTATAAAAAATATGTCTAAAAGTCGGTCAAATGTAGACTAAATCTAGTCGAAATTTTATATGAATGTATTTATGAAATTAAGAATTTGAAATAACTATTAAGAATACTAGTTTTTTACTTCAAATATATGCAGAGGTAGTATACTTCTAGTATTGATCTATTTAATCTTTTTTGTTTATTATAGCCACTCCTATAAAGCTAGAAAAAAGTTCATATTGTTATGAAACTCTTGAGATTATTAGTAAAAACAAATATAATTAACATGCAGTGGTGAAATTCAGAAACGCTTTTATGATTGTGATTTTATGTTGAATGATGATATGAGTAAAATTAAAACATTAAGAACTTACAGTAGGATAGTTTATGTTAAAAAGATAATATATAATGAGGTTTCATTCTTATTTCTCATCAAAACACCATTTACAAAACCGCAATAGTAACTAAAACAGATACAAGGAAATGAAACTTGTAAAAGCATACTTTTACGACTGAGGAGAACTCCTAAAATGTTTCGGTCGAGATAAGTAAAATGAAGGTATATTCACAAAAACTTCATTTATGTAACTTGACCTAGTGTGTTTAGAATTTTCCGATAAGAATTTCCCAGGCCGAAATCGAAAATAGTGCTGAATCGTACATGAAAATTCGAATGTTTTCTTATCCGTGCGAACATATGTTATATCCTACATATTAGTTGCGATAAACTACGTGCTAATGATAAAATAATCAAACATAAAAAAAACATTTATAGTATTATATTTTTTTTATTTTTAACTTTAAAACCTTCTCGGGAAAGAACTTGAAATAATAACGTAATTGATCTGTTGTAAATTACACACTAAAGTTTCAAAAGTAAAAAAATGTGAGCAACATAATATTTCCCACGCAGCTTTTATTTTTAAGCATTATCAGAATTTTTTGTTTAATATTTTTAAATTTCAATTACTTTTGACCTTTATCTACGTGAAAATTGTAATTTGATACGGTACCAAGGGAACGATGTAAAACATGCCATGGTAATAATATCCGAAATATTAAATACCCTCAGGAAACACGATAAACGCCGCCTGTATCCATAAATTGTGTATCTTAATAATGATATCGCTCAATAATTTAATGATAGAGGCATGGAAGGTTTACTTTTTTGTAGGAGAAATAATATTCATTTTATATAATAAACGAGAAAGCTAATTTCAGTCTTATAAATAAATAATAATTATAATAATACACTAAATGACCTTTTTAATGGATGCCTCTAAGAATTTAAGCATAGATAACTACTAAAATATTCGTAATATAAAACAAGTACATTGTTCAGTAATACTTATTTTTAAATACTTAATAAATAATTCTAATTAATAACATATTTTTTATGGAAATTAATTATATTTAAATTAACAATATAATGTTAACTAAAATTAAATTTTTAGTAAAAATTTAATTATATTTAAATTAGCAATATAATGTTAACAAAAATTAACAATAGACCTCCGAAGCTTTATTAGATGGTTTCTCGAAAGAAATTATACGTTTAATAATACTCTTACATTGTTCTTAATAAACAAGGTTTAGCGTTGGAGTAAATTTACGCTGAGACTGCACTTAGTATGAGACAAAATTCATATTGTTAAACAGAGACTTAGCAAAGATTAACATATTAGGTTTGGTTTTTCTCTGTATAATAAGAATTTGAACTAATACTAAAATTGAAATTTTAGCGTAAATTTATTCTGACGCTAAACCTTTTTATTAATAGCACTGTTAATATTTATTATATACTGTCTCTATTATGTCTATTTTCGTTTAGAGATTGAACCTACATTTAGCTATAGTTAGAATTAATTTACACCTTTGTTCTAAAACGGCTGTTATAAGATCCTTTTGGGTTACAAATATCGGGTTAACTAAGCTATATCCCTCCGAGGGTTTGTTGAATTTAGATCATGGAGGAAATTAAAGTAAACGTCTCATTTTGAATTATGTACCTGCTTAGTGGATATAGTATTTTAAGCATAAATTGTTTTTAGATTGTAAATTTTTCCTACTAAATATGTTTAATATAACATTGAGAAACATTTAAAGTAATACCTCTTAAAAGCTCCGAAAACTTTTACAAACTATTTTTCACGTTCTGGAGATGATTTTCTTTTTTGATTTGAGGATTTAACGACTAACTTATGTATTGAATATATCTAAATGTATCCGAACACAAAAAATTTGGCGTTAGATTAATCAGCAAAACAAATAAACAGAATTAGTAAATAAATGAATAAGACACAGTCTATTCACTTTATATACACGAATACAGATTTCCATTTACGAACTTAATTTAGATTGACTGTGATAACAAAATCAGATTAAGCCAATGAAAGTTGAAGTAGATGTTCTTTGACTGACAAGGCTAATGCTGTTTTGAAATTGTTTATTAACTTTGGTCATTCCGAATTCTGATCTGTCCATATCAAAACTAAATATTATAATAGTTAATATTACAATTGGCATAATAAGTGACTGACACATTCATTTATTAATAATGAATGTATCCTCCTCTTTGCGTCGATATCCTCAATGCTGAAGATCGTGATCTCCATGTAGCACATTTTTCCGCTATTCTGTCATCTGGATATGTCTTCTACTGACAGTGGAGTCGAGTGTCGTTCGAATTTGCTCTGTCCAACGCAGCGGGCTACGTCCCGGGCCTGTTTTACCGTGACAAGCAACTTTTCAAGGTTAGCACCGCTTTTTCTAGCAACGTAACAATGCATGTATACCTTTTTAATTTTTTGAAGGTAGGAAAAATGATTTTGGCATTGCCTGGCTAGCGACGAGGTTATTTGGGACTCTTCTGTGGGTCTATCCAACATGTATTCGCTCAAGGGACCCATAAAGGTCTACCCACTAAAATTACCTTATTATATTTAATATTATTCTTGACAGTCTTGTCATATTTTTTGTGATTTACTCCTTATCACATTTTGCTCCATATCATTCTGATTTTGCTTGATTACTAGCAGAAAATGCTTTCACGTAGTTTAGATAAAACCGAATTATTACAAACGAGCATTATTGTCGATTAAAATATTTACTTAGCGACTGTTGTTGAAATTTTATATATTTCAAGCAGCTTAAGATTTCTCGAAGTACATTTATTTTACTCAGAATCTGAGAAGTTAACCGCAATTACATTACGACAAAATCTAAAATGAGATCTTGGAAAATTAGATTTTCAGTTCCTGACTTAAAACACCATCTGGTTTTAGATATTTGTGTAGTTAGATTTTAAACAGACATGCTCTTTAAAGTACATTCCTAGGAAGTGCAATTCAAACAAACCTGGTGACGCGTTAGAAATGGAACGTGGCTCAGAAAATCTTTGAACTTTCAACATTCGCTGAGATTTACTTCCATGGAATTTCTTTTCATAGGATTTCATTTTATACATTTGTAGTAAGTTCGCGTAGATACGTACGTGTTAATTGTTACTTTAGCAATGTATATAAAAAAAGCAGTAGTTTTTGTTACAGATCTTAAAATATCTAATTGTGTTAAATATACATTATGTATATCATTGTTATCTAAGACTAAACAATTTTACACCTACCTGTATACAGGGTTGTCGTCCCTGTACCACACGACGAGTAGCAGACTGTCATTTCGTTGAGGCGGGCGCGAGTCGCAAGGTAATTCTGCCTCGCCTCCCACAACAGCTGACACTCGAGTAACAGCCCCAGTTACGGATGACAGAGGGTTTCCTGGAAGCAAATACGTATATTATAATCACGTATTTGCCCTATGGGGACGAGAAGCTAGTAGTATTAGGTAAGATTACATTCAAAATCATAAGTCAAGTTCAATTCAGTACACATGCCTCATAAAATAATTATCAGATTATCAATTAAGGTGGTTTCAATAATCGATAATTATTTCTTATTTGATTTTTTTGACTAGAGCTCTTTGAAGCTATGTTCCTATTTTAGAATAGTGTTATAAAAAGAGTAGCATGAATAGTAGCATGTAACAATAAGTTTGACATATCATGAGACTCATCTTGCTCGTATTCGATTCGTAAATTGAGGCACGATAGAAGTTTAAACAATTGAGGTACATTTATAAAATTTAAGGAGTGTAGTGACTCTCTTATAAAAAGTTTGCCTACATAAAATGTAAATATTTGTATAGAAAACTAACATCAAATATACTCCAAAAATCTTAACTTCGATTAATAGCTATCCATTAATTTAAAATCACGAAAAGACTATTAAAATGTTATTATAACGTTTTCATATCAATTTTAATAGACATTTAATATCCCAGATTCGTCTTCTTTGATGACAAAGCCTCTGTCATATGACGACAGCACGTTTCCTGATTGGAAACATACGAGGCTATTCGATGGCAACTGACATAAAATGGAATATAACGTGAAGGCAATTTAAATCTTTCCTGACGTGATTTTAGTCGGTATGGGTCTATTGCTATTACTGAAGAACCTATCTAAATATTTTATTTATGAGACCTATGAGCTTTTAAACATTTTTGTGCACGTGTAAAAATGTTAATAAGTAAAAATTAATATTGAATGTATCTTTGCTTCTAAGAATATAAAATAACATTATATACATTGATTGGATTACAAGAAGAGTAGCTAAAGCTGTAATCTAAGCAAGACAACTTGAAATTCGAGTGCGAAGTACTCGGCTATGGTGGACGTCAATAAAGACAAAGGTATGGTTTATGTGATGCTAGATTGCTGTTTTGTGTATATGGTTACACCCTTATAGCAGCATATCAGATTACTACAAAATATCAGATTTCTGATATTACTTTTGAACTTTTAACTCTCAATTAATAAACGCTTAAAATAAATTACGGAAAATTTCATAGTGACCTGATGACCTGTCGACTGTACGTTAAAACTTATATAAAATGTTTTCAAATTGATGGAACCGTTTCGAAGATTACCTTCCGCATACATACACCCACATGAATTCTGCTTATACCTAACCTCAGTACATATCACAACTTAAAAACTTAAAAAGTTATTTAACTTGTCAAGTTAAATAACTTATCAGGATTAATATGTAAAGGCTACTAAGAGATTGAGTTTGCTTTAACTTCCTCGAGATAATCGGCTTAGGTCGCAAGTTGCTTATCACAATCTCAGTGTTAGCAGATTCCATCCAATTCTACTATACCAATAAATTCCTGAAGAAGGGTTTATGGTAATTTTAATAATCTTCTATACATAAAAATCATCTGCTGTACGTTTGTCTCGCTAAAACGGGAGAAGGGCTAGGCCGATTGTTTTTTTAATGTTTGTCGTAGTCCAGGAAAAGTTTCAGCGGTTAGAGGTGATAAGAAGTACACCGGGTCATCTAAGTTGAATAAAGAAATTACTTGTTTGAATAATAATCAAGCAAATAATTATTGTATCAAAGGAAAGAATATTATTATATCAAGTTAAGTGATTTAAATATTAATAATTTCCAGATAAGGTAAAAAATCTCGATTTAACAAAAATAGACACACAAATATCCCCACTCAATTGCGAAGACGATATTTAGTAATTCCTTTATAATATCAAACCATAAGTATTGCAATGTAATAAAAAGGACAAAAGACTCTCCCCCGCAACATATTATTATATAAAGAAAAAGTACCTATTTAATCACTTAATTATAAAAAAGTATTTTATCTTTTGCAATATTAAATATTTTGTATTTAGGAGAATATCTACAAATTACGCCATTGAAATGGAATTTCTAAGGCTACGTTTCTCTTCTTTTCTTGGTATGCTGATTTTGCAATATAAAAGCTTTAAAAAAAAACAATTACAAAAATTTTCCTCTTACATTGATTAAAATAAATATAAATCACAGTAAAATGGATTTAAAATGAATATAAATTGGTGAATATCACCTGAAATGAAATAAAATAAGGAAGAAAATACTCATGGATTGAAGTATAAATATTTTGTTTATAAGGAAAATACTATAAACTTTACACTATTCATGCTTAGTACTAAATGCCTATCTTATCACTAAATCCATTTCTTAGTTGGCTTTTACCACTTTGAAAGTTGGAATACGAGTAGTTGACATTAATTCTATCTTTTTTTTCATTTCTAGAGTAATATGGGAACTCGTTTTATATTTTTTTAACAGCTTTTTCAGTGTGTCTAATGTCGAGCACTGGACCCGATTGGTATTAAATACAAACACTCACCCTTTTGCTAATGATCACAATCTTAAATCCGATAAGGGAACGTTGAAGATAAAATTTAGTAGCCATCAAAAAGTTACAGGACCTTAAACTTCCTCTTTCTTCTAAGCTTGAACATAAACAAGCTGTCTGAGAACTCTCTTCGAGATATCTTTTATCCTTATTTCTGTTAAAAGATACTGAAGAACAATAAATGCAAGCTGCCTAAAGAACAATCTATTTAAACGATTCCTTTGGAACACGACTGCAACGCGGTAATCCTTTCGAGTTTAAGACTTTGCACTGTGCATGCTAAGTTTGAAATTGTTGTATTCGAATTCACTAAGAACTGTTTACATTTTAAAACCGAAGATGTTTACATATAAAATTGTTTATAAAATAATAACCGCATTCTACCTGTTCGTTTGTGTGTCAAATAATGCACAAATGATAAAACGTATTCCAGTGTATAGTCATCATTAATTTACTTATAAAAAGATCAATAAAGCCTATGAAGGGTAATGTAGCCCAGATGCCAAATGATGGGCTGTTATTCGCCGAGTCACTGTTATAGATTTTTTACTGAATTATGCCGTTAGAGATTGCAAAATTCATAAAGACTTTTTTCGTATAGTTATGAAATTAGTACGATGTTAATATTATACGATTTTGTTCATTATATGATGTCTTTAAAGATATCATTCAGTATAATAATAAAGAGAAATATAAAAGATCCATTTAGTTTTGGTATTGCTTTTGTTATAATATATATTGAGACATCACTAAGCTTAATGTAGGTCACTTCCAAGCGCCTCTCGGACCCTCATTATGTTTTCAGGTGTTTACGGCAGCAGGCATCGTGTTGTGAAAAACATATGGAGTCAAAAATATTATCTCACATTTTGTAAGCCTCCACCGATTTAAATTTTCATCTCTAAAGCCCTTTATGAAACGATATTAGGTACTTTATAAAAGGGAATAGGACAACGTTACTTCGTATTTCTTCTTTTAATTCACAAGCGTCTATGTGATATCAAAGTATTTGTTTATATCTGAAAAAAATAAAATAAGACAAACACATTTTTGCACACTTTTTCTTTTTATAATACTTCACATCTAATGTAGGTCAATACTCAACGGAGGTATTTAATGTTTTCCCGATTTAAGAAAAGAAGTCAACAATACTATAAACCAATTGAATTTCGTATATCTCTTCTCATAATTATAAGTGGTAAGATACCACCATTGCCATATCTAAACACTTGCCATCTATTTATGGACACTTTTAAGCTCTGGAGGATTATGATACTGATAAAGCTCTGTTGTTTGGTATCGACTTATATTGTCAAAAGTCCGTGGGTAACGAGAAAAGCCATCTCTTTATTCGAAAAATAATGTCACAAACATTCAACTTTACATAGTTTGATAGAAACGATATTGAAAGCATATATTTTTTGGCTTATAGGGATAAAATATTTAGTCACGTAAATGAACGATGTATATGCTCTAATGTAAATTATAAATTAAACTAAACTAAACCCACTTGGGTTTGGGTACAGTTTTGTCTAATATAAACATCAAACCCATGTTTCATTAAATATTCGGGCACTTGGTAAACACTGACTCAAATCAATGTATCGTATTATCAAAGAAAGTCTCTTAATTGACTTTATGAAATGAATAGGTTGAGCAATACCTGAAAAAAATGGTAAATACGATTTAAAATCTGATAAATTATTAATCCAGTAATAAGTTATTAAACTATTGATTTAGTGTTTGCGTTGCGAAAAAACATTGAATCCTGACAAATATTTCTATCAGCATCAGCGCAATTAACTCATTAATATCTCCACTGCTGGGGGCTCAAGCCTTCGCTATAGATTAAATCGAATCAAATTGAAAAGGGAGACAATTAATTTAATCATATAATTATTTCAAAAGTAGTGTTAAAAAAGTTACAAACGCTTGTAGCTTGATCCCTACCTCATAAAACAAGAAAATGACATCCAAAGCCGTCTACGAATATCCTCAAGCCGGACAGTATTGTGCGTGACAAGAGCCACCTTTATGTATATCTTAGAGGGTTTTGTTACCAGTTTACTTATATTTGATGTCCGTGTTTATATATTACACTTACTTTGTATTTATTAAAACAATTATCGCAGAAGTTAACGTGATTGGTTTACCATTGTTAACTTCTTCGCCATTAGAGCTTGCATAAATGAAGGAGACTTTAATAGAGTATTTACCCCTTCTTACAATGAGAACTTAATTCTAGGCTTGGATATTTCAAACAAAATACGATTACCTTTGTCCACAGTAGGTTACACTACAAGCTGGACAATTGAGTAGCAAACACATAACTATTTAATTTTCTTAACACAGTGATTTAAAAATTACGTGTCTATCATTATACAATCTAAAAAAAATCTAGCCGTTCTACTACTACAATTTTATCTATCGTAACTTAAATGAATTAATGTATAAGATACACAAAAACTGGTAAACGAATCTTTTTCACTAACGACATATAAAATATTTATAAAAAATT